GTGATGTTCCTGGAGCAGACAGGGCTTGGAGCAAACGGGTCGGACAGCTCGGCCGTCTGCTCCTGACACAGCTGTGAGCTAACCAGCTCTGCCTGCCTTGCCGTCAGGCATCCTGCAAGCTGTGGGGCATGGCGGCATGGTGCTCCTGGTGCTGCGTGGCTCTGGGGTCATGCACTGCTGCTAATGACCCTTCCCCACTCACCACAACAAATTAGCACTGTCCCTGAGCAGGAGGTGCATAGCCCGGCTCTGGCTCTGTGGGGCCCGTACAGAGGGCAGCTCAGCCCTCCTGGGATGGGGGCTGAAACCTTGACATCAGAATATGGTTGTAATCTGCCGGGGAGCCAGCATGGAGTGACTCTGTGGGTGTTGAGGGCTGGTGGGTGTTCAGGACGAGGACAGCTGCCCAGGGCCATGCACTGCAGAGTGCCCAGGAGCTCACCCGCCTCCCTCCTCCTCTCCCACAGCCCCTGCTCACCTGGCTGACAGCATCCACAAGAAGAAGCACACGCGCCCAACCTTCACGGGACACCAGATCTTCGCTCTGGAGAAGACTTTTGAGCAGACCAAGTACCTGGCAGGTCCAGAGAGAGCACGGCTGGCCTATTCACTTGGCATGACTGAGTCCCAGGTGAAGGTGAGTGTGGGTCCTCATGTGGCATGGGGTGCATGGTGTAGTGGCTGCTACCGGAGCCAGGCCCCTGGGGCAGCAGGTCTGGTTCCAGAACCGACGGACCAAATGGAGGAAGAAGAGTGCCCTGGAGCCCTCCTCATCCTCGCAGCGGTCAGGGGGCTCTGGTGGAGAGCGGGCGGCTTCTGAAACAGAGGACGACGAGTACAACAAGCCCCTGGACCCCGACTCGGATGATGAGAAGATCCGGCTGCTGCTGAGGAAGCACCGTGCGGCCTTCTCAGTGCTGGGCTTGGGCACGCACAGCGGCTGAGCGCCAGCACAGCCCACCCCTCTGGGCCACAGGGCACCTAGGTGACCCCCAGCAGGCGCCCAGCTGTGGGGATGGGGTGGCTGCTGCCCCACTCCTGGTGGCTCCTGTCCAGGGATCATGGCTCGTGGGGCTGGGAGCAGCATGTGTGGGCAGCATCAGGCACGGCTGTGCTGTCGGCATTGATGAAATAAAGATCCCAGCCCCAGCCAAGTCCCAGCGCTTGCTTCGCGGGTGTGCGGTCAAGGGTGGCCTTGTGAGGCTGGGCCAGAGAAGGGGCTGGAATAGCCCATATGGGGCAGGGTCTGCTTGCCAGGCAGGGGAAGGGACCATGGCTGCAGTGCTGTGTGCGGGGCAGGAGGAGCCCGCAGGAGCAGGGCAGCCTTGGGGACATTTCCCAGGGTTTTCCCCACTTCGGGTGTGCACCAGCAGCGGTGCTGGTTCAAAAGTCACTTGTTGGGGCCTCTTGTTGGAACCTATTAGTAGCAAATAAATATCGTTTATCTTAATGGTGTGAGTGAGAGCCCATTCACCTGTCGGGGCTGCAGGATTGATGTGGTGTCAATAGCCCTGGTGTGTTTGCTGCCAACCTGGGCCCCCTTCCCCACGGTGCTGCACCCTGGTGCGGCGGGGGCTGTGTGCACACATGTGTGGGCACGTGGGTCGGCACCCCCTGCTCTGGCTCCCCATAGCTCAGCCCCTGTGTGCCCAGGGTGCTGGGCAGGGCTGTCTGCTCAGGATGCCTCGTGCTGGCACGGGCATGCTGCTGGGGCCTGGCAGGCTCAGCAGTTGTCTGGCTGAGTGCCAGCTAAGTGCCAGCCAGGCCTGAGCAAACAGACCAGCCGTGTCCTGGGAGGAAATCGATAGGAGATAAGGTGCTGCCGGCCCAGCGTATACTGATTAGAAGCATGGCACAGGCATGAAGGAGGTGCTGGGGGCTGCAACCCAAGCTGCCCCCCTGCACCCTGGGGGTGGCCGAAGCTCTGGGGCTTTGCAGCAGCCCTGAGCACCAGCTGTGGGGCTGCAGACTGTCACCATGCGTCCCGTCTGCTCGGGCCCCAAGGCCCACATTTGGCTCCACGTCCTCTCCAGTCTGACACTTTCCGCCATGTGCTGGGCTGGGGGGACTTTGCAAGGGGCGCCGGTTGCTCCGCGGCGGTGTGGGGCGCTTGGCGGGGTGGGGGGGGGGGGTCAGGTCCCACCAGCGCGGTGGTCAGGGCTGGGACCGAGCAGCTGCCCACAGGCCCCGGCCGGGTGGCTGGACTGGGAGAGCCACGTCACCCTCGGTGACAGAGCTGGTGCGGCATGAGCTGGCTCTGCACGCACCAAGAGGTGTGTGGCTGCTGGTGGGATATTTTTTTGACATTTTCTAAGCTGCCCGGCGTGGCTGACAATTTTTAATGTACTAACTGCCTGGTCCAGTGAGCTGATTAATTGGTGCTGTGGAGATCAATACAAAACAGAAAATTAAAACAATTTTAAAGTGATTAAGTAGTTTAACACCTGTCTGATGCCACGTCAGGGCTGGGAGACAAATAAAGCAGGAGACAAAGGGCCTGCTGTAGCTGGGGAGAGTGACAAATGGCAGCCGCAGCCTGGCTGCCCTGCGCATCCCCACAGCCGGACGGGTGCCCCGAGCCGTGCTGCTCCACGCAGGGCTCAGGGCGGTGGGCCGGGACCACCCTCCTCTCCTGCCCCTCTGCCTGCGGCCGCTCCAGCTTCCCACCCGCTGCCGCAACTACCTCTGGGGCTGGGCAGCCCAGGGCAGGGCGCAGGGGTCCTGCTGAGCATGTGGCAGCGCTTGGGGCCATCTGTGCCGGGGGTGTGTGGGTGCGAGCGCAGGCAGGGCGGCCTGGCAGGCAGATGGATAGCAGCTCCGCTTCAATTCTGCATCCCTTTTCTCCCAGACAAACCCCGTCAGATTTTCATAAATCAAAGCGCCACACTGTTTAATAAAAATTTATTGACTTACAAGTGATTATTTATCAAAAGGCCATTAATAGCAGCTCCGGGAATGATGTGCTACTGGGTGGTGCGTGGAGACTAATAGCAAATCAATGCCAGCATCCGGGCAGAATGCATATGAAGGCCCCTGGCCCCAGCGGGCTGCATGGCTGCTGCAGCCGGAGCCAGCAGCCCCTACTCCATGGGCCGCCCAGCGCTCCCCCCAGTTATTTATCGCTTACAAATGAAATGATCGATACTTTTAATCTAGAGCTAAATTTATTAACTTTCCCATCGGAGAGGGACATATTGACTGGGGGCATGGGGAGGGGGAGCGAAGGGAAGATGGATGTATGCCTCCTAACCTGTCCAGCCAGCTCCCTGCCTGCTGCGGAGCAGCCCAGCAGCAGCAGGGCTGTCGGGACTGGTCCCTGAGCATGGTGGGGCGGTTGGAGGGCCCATGGAGCTGGGGAGGCCATGGTCACCCATGGGACCCAGAGAGCGCGGCACTGCCTGGGCATCCCACGGCTCATTGGGACCACAGCATGGCACCGGTGATTTGTCCAAATGGCCCTCTGAGCAAGGAAAAAACTGTGCAAGCCTTGGGGCCAGAGCAGCAAAGCTCAGTCAGGCAAAACTGGGGCCAGATCAGGCCATTACGTCCGGCCAGAGGCTCCCGTGGTGGTCAGCAGTAGCTTATCGGGCAAGATGACGCAGGCAAGAACTGGAGCACATACAACTCGTAAAATGTTGTGACCAAACCGTATAGGCAAGTACTATAGGGTGACACACACACACCTGCTTGGCAGCTGATGCTTAACCACGCTGCAGGTGAACTCCCATAACCCATTTGCTATACCCAGCATTTCTGATGTAAGCGAAAGACAATGGTCAAACACGCTGTGTAAATAATTGCCAAGGAGGTAAGAGGTGCACTGTGCTTTTCTTTTTTTTTTTTTTTGTTAGAAAAGTCGCAAAGCAACTGCCCCATCAGTTAACAGACATGGATGGAGGACTGGTGAACGAGTGTTAGGAGCTGTACCTAGTAAGTTGGGTAAAACAAGTAAACCAAAATGCTGGTGAAAAGACCCTTAATGCCATAACAAACTCCTAATGAATGAGAGGTCCTAGCCTGGGTAGCTTGAGATATCTTAGTAAAGAGGAGTTGTTTTGTCTTCTCTTGGAGCACAGGAGTGTAAGCAATACACTTCAACCCTGCAGGTCGGTGTTCACTGCCTCCTACTTGGCTTCAGCTGCTTTTGTTTTGTTATCTTAGCTGGAAAGGAAAAGATACCAGGCTTTGCTTCTTATTTTTCTCCCCCTAGATCAATTGCCACAGCTGAAGTCGGGTGGAAGAGGAGAATAAGAAATTGGGATAACAGTGAAAAGTCTGGGGTCAATAAGGACATCTCCATCACCAAACGAGAACAGCCTGATTTCTCTTGGTGAGACTGGATGTTAATGGTGATCACGTGTAACAGATAATACTGATAATTGAATGCAATCTTTGTGTAGGTAACATGTCTGTATATTTATAAAGGATCATATTTTGAGCACTACAAGAAGCAAAGGTAAATCAATTCAGTACAGAAATATTTCCCATAACTGTACATGAACAGATCGTATGCTATTAGTGTGGCTTCATGTCCCTGTAAGGCTGTCTGTCCCCTCTCAGGCATTGTACTGGGAACAGTTTAGTTGAGTTGTGCAGAGCTGAAAGGGAAAGGGGTACGACCCCCAGCCTAAGACTTCAGCTTCCTTGCAACAGGTCAAGATTACGTATGTGCACGTCGGTGCATAACAAGATCAGATCCCACCGTTTCCCTCAGGAGACATTTGAAGGGGGATCTCTGGCCCCAGCCACGGAGTCTCGCTCTCCTACCCACGCTGGGTTACCACCACAGCATGCACGGATTCCTGCAGAGCCCTGCCTGCCACACCAGTGACCGCTGCTGGCAGCTCACAGTTCCAGGGGACAGAGGGAGGCTTCCAGGGAGGATGGTCCTCACCACCTGAGGAACCCCAGCAAAGAGGCTGTTACTCAGAGGCTGGAGAAGCAATGGTCTGGGTCAGGCTAGCACAGGAGGGTGGCGAAAGGATTCTCCTTCTGGAAGTAAAGCTGGAAATGGCCTGAGAGACCATGTACTGCTCGTAAGGGGTTAATGCTGCAGACGTGAGAGGCACAGGCTCATGAAGACGCCCTTGGCTGTCAAGGCAGCTAATTTCAGTGCAGCTCACCAGTTTCTGTGCCGTGGGAGACTTGTGACTCACACACATGCACATCAGCGCACCAGTCCTCCCCCAGGGCCTGTAAACACCATATGGAAGCATACGACACCGTAAGTGTTTCATTTAATATTGCCCCTGCAAGGGGCTTCACTGTAACAGTAACACGAAGGCATCTTTGCCCAGAGCGGCCTGGGGCCTGAAGACTCTAGGCAGTCATAGTGCCTCCGGGAAAGAACAGCCAGAGCATGAAGGAGCAAGTCCAAGAAGCTCTGGAGTAGCCAAAGTCCAAAGATTCGGAGCTGCTTCAGACAAGCCCTGGCTCGTGCTGGAGGCAGAGGGCTCCGGCTGGGCCCAGTAACAGTGCCGGAGGCAAGGGCTCAAGAGCGGCTCCGGTCTTCATGGTTGCCTACAATCATTTTGCTGTAGAGTTTCTGTTGCTCCTCCTTGAATGTATCTTTCACCTTCTCCCTCTTCAGTCCTCCATCCCTAGGGAGAGAGTCGTATCATCAGAGAAGCTGCAGGCGTGCACTGTCTGAAACCTCATCTGAGGCTGCTCGGAGCAGGTCAGAGCTCCTGCAACAGCCAGACAGCTACACCTGAACCTGATGTTGCCAGGGCACAGTGCAGACCAACTGCCCCCAAGGGGAGTTACTTTCACCCCTTGCTCTGCCAGGAGCTGCACCCATGACCCTGCACTGTGCTCAACAGGACAGCTCTGTCAGAAGCGTGAGCTGCTCTGATACCACTACAGCAGACTGCCCGTAGAGACCCTCTCCCTCCCAGGCTCTGAAGATCTCAGTGCCTGAAAAACAGAGTTCCCAAGCTCAACCCACTTTGCTGAGCAGCATCAAGTCAGAACCAGGGCATCTCAGCGCAAGCTGGAATCACAGAATGAAGCCCTGGTGCCCAAAACACACAGGAGAAGCAAAGACTTTGGTCCCTGCTACAGAAGACCAGTTTTGGAGGTCACAGGCAAGACGTATCTCCACTTCTCCATAGGCCTACTCTGCCCAACACGACACAAACTTAGCTCTACAGCCCACAAGCACACACCAGGACCCAGGAACCCTGGCACCAGGAAGACAGCAGCCTGCCTGGACTCACCAGAGCAGATCCACAAGGCCCCCCTGCCTGGCAATGGCTGACTTCACTCGATTGGCAAACTGGACAGCGTCCTCTTCAAAAAGCAGGAGCAAAGGGCCAACCAGGCAGCAGATCAGATAGGCCACATTCACCTTACTTACCTGCCTGGTCATTGGGGGCAAGTACCAGACACTGCAGACAATGGCCCAGCTGGTCATCATCCTAAGGAGGTAGGTTACCATGCCGTACTTGCTGCTGTTCCAAAAGGCATCTCCAAACTGTGGGTCATACTACAGAGGCAGAAGAGCTCATGGAAGTCAGGCAGTGGCTGCATCCTCCCCAAGGCTCCAAGTTCCACCCCAAGCCCAGCTACAGGCCAGCCCTCCCAGAGCACTACAGAGTGATCTCAGCTTCTCCACGCCCTCAGACCAGGCTGTTGACCCAGCAGTGCCAAGACTGGGCTGCCAAGACAGTTCTCACGCAGAGAGCTACTTGTGCTGTAAGAGTGGCTGCCTTCTCATACCTTGATGGCTACAGGATAAACTGTGGCTCCAATTTCAAAGCTCCCCTTTTTGAACATCATCACAGATGTGTTGTTGATGCAGGTTCCTGCAAGATGCAAGCACAATCTTCTCAAGTTCCCGTAGCAAAGCCAGCTCAGAAGTCTAAGCTATGCACCTAATGGCTAGGCCACAGGCACCCAGCAACCGCCCCCTTACCCTCACTCCAAACCCTGTTCTCTGTGTGCACAGGGTGTGGCACTGGGACATAGCTGACTTCCACATTCTGGGTGCAGTCAGCTCTAAAGATGCAATGTCCCCTTTGTCTCAGTGAAGGGTCTCAAGGCCCTTGGCTGCATAAGAAGGGAAGGAACAGAGATGCGGTGCTGTCCCAATGTGCCCTCTCCATCAGGTGCTTGTCTGGCCTTGCTCCGCAACTCACCTTCTGGAAAGATAAGGATGGGCAGTTTGCTCTTGTCCTGGACATGCTCTGTGAGCCTAAAAGGAAGAGTGTCACCAATCAGCACAGGGCACAGGAACTACCGCTGGCAACCCTCACAGCATACAGTCCTTATTCCGCAGTCACTGGGGACCATCTGGGTGCCAGCAACACTGGCACAGTCTCCCAGCACCCACGAGGCAAGGCAGCATCCTCACCCATGGGAACTGAGCAGCCCCTGCCCTCTCCCAGCCTCCGGCCCTCCCCTGCAGCCTGCAGCCAGCAACTGTCACACCTTTTGGCAACGAGGTGACGATCTTTGACCTCAGAGCGTTCAAACCACACGTGGGGGCAAGCTTTCACCATGGCTCTCTGTATCACACCCATGAGTCCTCCGTGGATCTGACCCACCTGAACAGGGCAAGAAGACACAAGTTACAAGACCTGGGGACACGTGGAGGCCAAGGCCGCTCCTAGCTTCGCTGCCAAGCTGAGGTTCATCTTTCTACCCCTGCCCTGGAAAGGCTGAGAGGAAAAGTCCCGGGTCTGACTGGAAGGACAGATGTAGCAAGGCCCAAGAGCTTTCCACACTGCAGGAGGTCCAGCCAGGGAAGCGCTTTGCTCTGCCATGGATAGCAAAGCCCAGAGCTCTACTTGCAAAGCAGTGCCCAGAGACCCTGGTGCTCTGAGTCCCAGGCCAAGCTGGCTGGAAAGCCATGCACCAGAGAGTATCTGTGCACAGCGTCCGAGAGTGCTCTGTGGTGTCATGCAGGGAAAAGTAGTTCTGCATGCTCAAAAGCCTCTTGCTGCCCACTCCTTGTCCCATGCAATTTTGTTCAGCCTGGGGAAGAGAAGGCCCCGTGGAGACCTTACTGTGGCCTTTCGGTACCTAAAAGGGGCCTATAAGGAAGATGGCGACAAACTTTTTAGCAGGGCCTATTGCGATAGGACAAGGGGTAACGGCTTTAAACTAAAAGAGGGGAGTTTTAGACTGGATATAAGGAAGAAATTTTTTACAGTGAGGGTGGTGAAACCCTAGCACAGGTTGCCCAGAGAGATGAGAGATGCCCCATCCCTGGAAACATTCAAGGCCAGGTTGGATGGGGCTCTGCGCAACCTGTCCAGTGGTACTGCTCACGGCAGGTGGATTGGACTAGATGGCCTTTAAAGGTCTCTTCCAACCCAAACCATTCCATGAATGTGCTTGCTGCTCCCACCACGCATGTGGCCAGGCCCTGGGAACCGGAGTGCAGACCTTACCATCGCGTAGTAGCCATCACTGGCCAAGATGATCACATCAATAGGAGACGTGTGATTTGCCACGCAGATGCCTCCATTTCGGGGTCTGTTTTCTCTAAATGCAAAACAAAGGCACAGATGAGGACAGAGGAACGAAGCGTGAGGCCTGCACGAGGCACGGCATGGAGCAGCCCGTGGGAACGGACACCCTGACGCAGACAGTGCCTCCTTACCGGTCGTGGTAGGTGATGATGGCTGTGAGAGCACGCACACAGATCCGGTAACACATCAGGTGGACATGCTTGCTCAGGAACTCCTTACACCTGCAGCCCAGGAGAGAGAATCACTACCTCCCAGTTCTACAGTCTCCCCTGTAACGGTGCCACTCAGCCCAGCTGCCCCATGCCACGAGGTCCAACCGAGACTTCACATCTCTCCCACAGAAACACACCTTGTCCTGGGTTTTGCCGTCAGCTTATGACAACTGATTCTTACTCGTCACAGACAAACTTTGGCCTTTGCTCTTTTCTGTTCTTACTCCTGTCAGAGCCCAGGCCTGAGCGTTCTGCCACGGGCTTAGTGCTCACATCTAGGCCCTTTGTTTAAAATTACAGGGTGTCTGTTCCTGAGAGGCTACAGATGCCAGGACCGCCTGCCGTGTCAGCAGTAGGCAGAACAGACAGGCCTCGCAGGAAAACTCCAGGATTACCAGGTCTCAAACTGCACTGGGGGCTCCCCATGCCCTCCTCCCTCAAAAACAAACTCACCTTCCATTTGGCAAATACCCCACCACTGTAGTACCAGTCACCAACAAGCTGATGCCAGTAAACGCCAGGGCTATCCTGCAGAAAGAGGGAAGCTACATGCTAGCAAAGCCAGGCCACAGGCCCTACTCATCACGCAGCCTGTCCCTCCAGATCATCCTGAGCAGGGTCTGCACTTGCGGCAGTGGGAACGGGCCACCCGCACCGTCCCAGCAGGCGGGTTCCCGCAGCAGCACTCACCGGAGGGGCAGGAGGAAGCAGTAGCGGATGAGCACACCCAGTCCCCAGAGTACAGTGAGGCGCAGGCTGATGTACTGGAAGTTGTAGTTGGTCCTGCTGAGCAGGTTCCAGGACTCCAGCTCTTCAGCTGAGAACCTCTTGGTCACTTCATCGTCCATGATGGTCTCAATGCCTTTGCGGCAGAAATAGAAGATATCTGAGAGCTCAAACTCAGGGGTGTCCAGGGCTTTGCCACTGCCACTCCGGCGGATCTCCTTGATCTCCTCTTCCAGTGATGTTGGCTCCTTTGCAATGATACCTGCAACACGCAGCAGGCAGCTCTGAGCAAAGTGCGACTTGCCCACTCAGAGAGCTCAGAATCAAGGCCCTTACTCACCTGTCCTCCACAGGGCCCCCTTCCTTTCTCCAGTCCGGATGGGCACAAACCAGTCCTCCCAACCATATAGAAACGAAGCACTCCCTGGGAGCTTCCCTCCCCTTCCTCGCAAATGGACCTCTCAGTATCTCCCTCCAATTGACCTACACAGAAAAGGCTTCCCAGCGTACCTCGGCTGCTCAGAGAGCACATTTACCCCATCTCCCGTAAAGAACTTTGAACTTTGTATGCACCCATGCACAGCAGGATCTTACCATTGACATAGGGCTTGTATAATGGATGGTTCTTCTCCTTGGCCCCACGCTCTATTCTCAGTGTTGCCCACTGCAAGAGACACACATGACAAGCAACATTCGCAAGGTCTGTAGCTCTGCTTCGTACTACCCATGTTTTACAGTCGACTTCTAGGAAAGACCATGGTTAAGGGGAGAAGACGGGGCTAAAGCAGGAAGCTTCCGTACAGAACTGAAAGAGTGAGTGATGAACACAAATGAACCGAGGTGGAAGCAGAGACTGGCCTGGGAGGAACACTTTTACCGCAGAGATCTGTCTGCAGTGGGACGAGAGGACTGACAGGGAGGTGACTAGCACTGGCACAGGACAGCCATGATGTGCACAGCAGAGCCCCAGCAGGAAGCACGGAGTGCCAGAGGGAAAAAGGGTGCTCAGTGGTGAGATGGCACAGCAAGCTTCTCTGCAGCCTCTGTGTCCCATGGGCTCTGCGGCCCCTGGTCTGCCACGGCACAACTGGGTGGACCGTGCCTCTGCTGGGGTGGTCCGCATCACAGCGCAGGAAGCCCAGCATGGAACCAGTGCTTAGTTTTCAACCGTCATTTCTTCCAAGCTCAAAGCAGAGACTGTGTTTTCAGGCTGCTGCTGCTAAAAACACCAGGCTGATATCAGGATGGGATCCTTCTTTCCCTGATTCAGCTAACAGCTGCTGCTGTTCACAGCTCACCAGTCACTCCAAACCAGCAGCAGCAACCACCCTCAGACAGCTCTCCAGCAGCTGGCTGCCAAATCCTGTGCCCAGACTACCTGTTATCCACAGAAAGCTCTCCCAGCTAATTCTCAAAGCAAAAACTGCAGGCTGGATTTCTGGCCAGTCTTCCTGCCTGCTCCAAGTAACCCTCTCAGGCTCACACTCTACTGCATTACACAGGCCTGGGTGAACACCCTGCTAAAGGAGGACCTGTGTACAGTATGCTTATTGCTCCAGGCTAGCTGCTCCATCAGGGATCTGTGAAGAACGGGAAGCCGCTGGGAACTCCTGGCATCCCAGTCCCAGCCCATCCCAGCATCAGATCAGGAGGCAGCAATGTGGGCATGCTAACTGCATACAGAGTGTCCGGTTCATCCAGCAGCCTCCTCTGCCAGCAGGAGGAACTGCAGGACTGTAGAAGATTGTCCAGACACTGCCATCCCAGGAGAAGTTGGGCGAGGAGCTCCAACCAGCAGGAGCTGGGCAGCCCATGGAGAAGGTGCTCCTCGCAAGCCCAGCACACGTCACTGTCCTGACTGCGGCAGCAGAAATCCCAGACTCCCACCCGGGAAGCACCAGGCAGGTCTCCCCCCTCATCAGAGATATGCAGCTCCCATCCCAGCCCCGCAGCTCTGGCTCTGTCCAGCAAGCTGCCTGACGTGAGTGCTGCCTGTCTGGGCTAGGTTCACAACACTGCCCTCCAGAGCTGGGAAAATCTTTGGGGTGAATAACGCTCCCCAGAAACGCAATTCTGATGACCAGACCTAGTGAGTAAATTTTCCACCAAATCTGCCAGACTGGTCCTCTCTCCCACCACAAAGATTCTGTGATAATAGGTGAGACAGACTTCAAAGTCCTTTCAGAAAAATAGTTTCAAAATTAAACGCCAAAATAGGTGTTGACATTAAACGTTCCCGAATCAAAGAAAGAAAAAACAAAAACCACCAAGGTGAAAAGGTCGATTTCAGACAAACCAAACTTTTTCTTAATTTTTTTCCCCCTGTTCAGTCACTAAATTTGAAGTCAGGTCTTCAGACATCTGTGTTAACAAAGCAGCGCACAAACCCCAGGGTCTTCCCACTCCCGCCCGAGGCTTTTGGGAGGACTCAAGAGTTGAAAGAGCTGAACGCTGCAAGCTCCAGGGCTGCCTTCCCAAGCCAGCCAGTACAGAGGTACTCCTGGGGAAGACCAGTCCTCTTCTAACGGCAGTTGCTGTCCCTTCAGCAGCTTGAACTCCATGTTTCAGAGCCTAAAACCTCCCTATCAAGCACAGGGCCCCTTTTCCTTGGGCTGCCAGTGTAGGGTGGTGTAGGCTTTATCTTCTATGAGTTTGGCAAAAATTCTGCTCTTACCAGGGACTTGCTCCAAGAAGAGGTGTTGGCTGTGAGAAAGCCCACAAAATTAGTCTGCCAAAGGCAGGCAAGGGAACCGCATGACCCCAGGTTGGAAAATTCCACTTGGCCTCCCTCTGCCAAGAGGGTCAGCAAGGGCTGCTGACCATCCTCGGAGGCTGCAGGCCCAGCCATGGCTGCTGGGCTCAGCAGATACGCAGGCGGCACTCCGGGACGAGGGGTGCTGAGGGTTCTGGCCACAGACCACTCGGGGCTTGCCTTACCCCCACTTTTGCTTCATCCAAACGTGCGCTGGGGAAGAGCAGCCAGCTGACTGCAGTCTTGTCCCTCCCCACCACACCCTACACCCCTTTTGGCTTCTTTCCACATCGAACTGTAACAGCACTCTGCCTTGCCTGGGACATTAACCCATCCGAGCACACACCCTCTCTCAGCATGTCGACAGATCCTACTGTACTACTGCATACCCACGGGCCACACTATCCTACTACTTTACTTGAAGACCTACTGGATTAATCACAGGGCAAAAACAACCCCTGAACAGAGGTCTAGTAAACTGCATTAGGCTGAGATGACCCAAATGGGTCATGTGGCACCAGCACATGTCACCAGCAAACCAACCTCCCACCCGAGTCAGCTGCAGTGCTCTGCTGAGGAGCAGAAGCCTCTTCCTAGCACGACCACGCTTGATACGACCCCTGTAAACATGCAGGAAATCCTGAAAACGTGACTTACCTGAAAAATCTTTAATAATGTTTTCATGTAAACCTTGCGGATGCCAAAAGAGACTCCAAAAATTGCTGGCACAATGATGAAAACCAGAAGCAGAGTGAAGAGGACAGTTATGGAAATTCCCAAGAGATTAACAACCAGGCTGTCAAAGGGGAGCAGGAGGAACATGGTGCAGGGCTCAGGCAAGGCTGGCGCCCTGCAGCCAGACAGAAAGGCTGCCCGTAGCGATTAACCAGTCCTCCTGTTATTCAGCAACAGTCCCACGCACGCACTGAGTCCACAGCCTGCTCACAGACCCCATTCCAAAGTTCACAACCTTTTTGGGCTCTGCGAGAGAGGGAACGCAACAGGATCAGGGAGAGCAGTTGGGAAAACAAGCAAACAGTCTGCCAGGAGCCCAGGTGAGTTCAGACAGTGTGGGCTGAGGAGCTCAAAGACGACAGAACACACACATGGGTTCTTCCATGGGTGCGCAGCGGGCACCGCAGTGACACAGCCGCGTGAATGGATATCCTCCCAAGGCGCTGCTGAGCAAGTCCTGCTGTGGGGCAGCTTGTGAAGAAGCTGGCAGCAGAATCCCCTTCTGGCTGCTGAGAGCATGCAAGGGCTCTTCACGGGGACAAGGTGGAGTCCATCCCTGAGCCTGCATTGGAGGAGATCGAGGGAGCTGGCACTTGCAGGAGCCTACTGTATGCGGAGCTATGACTGTTCTTTCCGTGAGGACACAGGCACTGGTGCAGACCTTTGCATGACGCCTGGAACAAATTTAATTCTGGAGATCCCTGGCATCCACTCACGCTGAAGGGTCGTTACAGAGACGAATGAAGCCGGTGTCCCTGGAAAGCTCTTCAAACAGCGAGTTGGCTTGCTGGCAGACGAGGCACTCGCATGCCACCAGCACTAGTGGAAGGAAGAGAAACCGAAGTCAGGCAAGCCATGCAGCTCAGAGAGATGTCAGCTCGGCGAGGGTGGCAGGAGGCCAGGGACAGTGGGCTCTGAAACCTGGAAGGCAGTGCCTGGGCTGAGGTCACATCGCTCAGAGCAGCTCCCGAGACACAGCAGACCCAGGCTGGCACTCCAGCTACAGCCTGGCGCTGTCACAGACTTATCAGCCCTGCTGCCACTCATCCTGTATTTTCATACCATTCACACCTCCAACTGAGCAGACTTGTCAAGAACCACGCCTAGAGCACGGGATGCTGCAATCACAACTCAAGTACAGGAAAGGAGCCAATGGAGTGACAGAAAAACCCTCCTCATGACAAAGACCTTGTAGCCTCTCTCATTTCAGAGGCATCCGAGAGCACTGAGCCAGCCCGGTGCCCGCGTTCCTGGGGAGGAATCACTTCCTCTGCCTGCACACATCTCGCCCCGCAGTCACACCGGGCAGCTCGGCGGGGCAGGACGCTCGCCCAAGGGGAGAATTACTGCTGATGACGAGCCACAGAGGAACTCGCTGGAGCACGGGGACCAGTCAAAGGTCGAACCGCAGTCCTGGCAGCCTGCCGGGGGAGGACGGCCTCCGCAGCACCGGCTGGGGCCGGCGAAGGGAGC